CCGGGGGCCCGGGGTGGCCCTGCTCGGGCGCGGTGGCGGTGCCGGGGGCCCGGGGCCTGCGGCCGTCGCGGCGGGCCGGCCGCCCGGCACCGCGAGGGCCCCGAGAGGAGGGCCGGGCCTCTGTTCTTTGCCTTTTCCCGGCTTACAGAGGTCTTCAGGACCCAAATAACCATCGAGCCTGTGTTTGTTTGTTTTACAGGCATGTGTTGATTATGGCTTTTGCAAAATTTGCATCTAGATGGGGAAAATAATCAGCTCYTGACACAAAGACTGATGCGCTGCTGCGCTCAGTAACTAGATTTCTCTGGTTCCCCCCATTTTATATACTTTGATGCAGAGCCAGGTGGAGCAGCAACACAGAGGAAGGTCAGCTTTTAGGTAAAGATTTAAGCTAAAGCCTTTGAGGCTTGTAGATATTCCCTTGATCACATAAGCATCTGCAGCAGGGACCTTAGGAGAGCTCTCAGGTAGGGAGATGGCCCCAGTTACCTGAGCTGTGTAGGATGGGGGCTCCCAGGGAAATCCATTACTGTGTTGTAGGCCTTTTGGCAGGATTGGAGATCTGTTTAGATCCTCAGTTCCTGCCACAGGCCTTATCTTGCTTTTTCTACCTTAAAAGGTTGCAAGGTAGATTTTTAGGAAGAGTCATGGCCAATATATTATAAAGTATTCAGTATACTTTTATCAAAACCAAATAGAAGAGTGCAGGAGTAAATCATTTTAATATGAAAAATATTTTCCGACTTGTTAATGTGCTTTAAAAATGCAATATTTTATTAAAGTTAAAAACGTACTCTGATGTTAACTCTTTTGTGTAGGCATCCATTTCCTTGGCTCCTGTGAATATTTTCAAGGCAGGTGCAGATGAAGAAAAGGCAGAAACAGCTCGGTTGGTAAGTCTGRTTCTCTGAGAACCTGGCAATGCTTTGAGTAGTGAAGCTTGATGTTTTTCTACTCTTGAAAGTGCTTTCAGTTTATGATGAGCTTCATCTGTCCACTATTAGTCTCCTTACATATCTGGGAAGAGGAGATAGGAGAAGTAGGAGGAATGTTT